AATTGCTCCGATTCAATCGAGATTTAGCGTCCAATGAGAACCTCGCAATAAACGCAATCACACACACACAAACACATACCGCTTATCATAAATACTAAATTTTGCTCTTAAATAGTTATCGTATAATTTCTCCATAATTTTCGATAAGTGTATCGTAAGAACTCGAGTTTTAATAAGGTGCGCTGAGTTGAATTGCTTATGAAAAAACGCTAAACAACATTATAAGAGTATAGGATGACAATATCGGCATATATGGAAATTAAAATATTCTAGAGGTGGCTGAATATTCAATTGGGGGGTAGTGAGTCTAGCACCGGATGCGCAGAACAGTGGGCAATTTGTCTGCGCCGTCGGAAGCTGCGCGCTCCCGGCTCAGCCTAAGGCAACCAGCTCGCTTGTTATAGCATGACTTCATTTAATTTCAAACACACATTCTACGTTATCTTCATTCTAATAGCCGCTCGCGTGCAAATAAGGTGTTACTAAATAAAAATATGCTATATATTAAGTACTTAAACATTGCACCTTATTTAAATACCGAAATCGAATTTCAGCCAACCACACCGTAGTTACTTACACCCACAGTTCCGTTCAGAATTTATGTCGAAACCGACATTTCACTACGGAGAACATTCACAGCAAATAACCTAGGCGTTAAAACAACCAGCACGGACAACTGGTGCACTTAACAAACAGACGTATCCGTATCAGATACGGCGTATCGAGACCACAGGACATTACTTCTGCTCTATCGATAAAGCTCAACGGTAAGCGAAATAGTTTTGCCTCGCAGTGATCATAAATAATTGTCATAAAACAGATAGGGGCTGATGGATGAGCGCCGCGCACGGCCCTGAATACCTATCTAGGAAGTTCTTCGAAGGACAAATATCCCCTACATCTTAGGAGCGGACCCAAATATTAGAGTATATATGTTCCGGAAACCAGCGCTAATTCAAACTAACCAAGCTTCTTTAATTTTCACATTGATGATCTATAATGATGAGAGCCACGCTCCTCTTCGTTCCGCATGACAACAAACACTAGTTACCTACATTAAGATCAACAATTGCGTAACACATAGAGATTATATCTAAAGTAATTGTTTCACTGATACGTTAACGACGTCATTAACTCACAATTTATGGCTAACAATAAGACAGGTGCGCAGGGCCAAAGCGAGTATCCCATGTAGTCGCGTCGGCTACAGCATCAATGAGAAATAGACTTCAATATACGAATAAAGTGGATACACGATCAAGCACCATTCTTAATTAGACTATTTGTCACGCGGTTAATTCGTAATCTGACTTTATATTCTTAAGAAAGATTTACAATGCCGTATGAAACACAAAATAAATTTATAAATAATATTGTTATTTTATACAACCCATCTTGGATTTTCTGTAAGTAGGTAGCCTTTTTTTGCTTAGTTTTTGGCGATGTCCTTTATGTAGTAAAGTCGTATGCACTCGCATGGGACAAAAGCATTACGTAAAATACTATCGGCACGAATAGATTAATGATCGCGAGCTGTCACACATGAGCTCAAGATACAGATCATCTGATTGCGCAGTTCCATGTGAAATGTATGCAATTGCTTATTTATTCAAATAGAGTGACGAAATTAATGTGGAGTGGCTGTCAGAGCGTAATCGGCAGCCGACACATGGCCACAACAGCGCGCTTGTCGCACGCGGAGCGAGAGAAAGCGTGCTTAATCAGATAACTGAGATTGTCAACCGAGCTCCTGAAATCGGGTCGAATGTCGATACACTCGATTAATTAATTGACGGTCCGAAAACATGCGGCCAATCGGCCCGCGAAGCCAAAACTAAGTAGGCTCTTGAGAAACGAAACAAAACATTTAAGAGCCGTTCGATATTTATATCAAAAAATAAATGTGCACTCATTTCAGAACTCACAGCGACCGCTTTCTGTAAAAGGTGTAATTAGCGTTCAGGCGAATGTTGTTAATACAATTTAAATTTTAATATTTTTTGAATACTTAAGTCGAACCAGTCATTCTTGCGAAATTATAATTAATGTTTCTTGTAAATATATTAGTCAGTAATATGCTGATGTTATTCCTACATATTATCATAACAATCTTCTGCCAATCGATTCGTAGTTAGTAGCATACAACTTTATTTTTTGAGTAGTTACCCATTATATGTTTAATAAATTTAAATCTTTTGGTAGTTGGGATTTTTCAAAACTGAAAGTACCTAACCTCGACAGGGATGTACCGAATTGAATTACTTTCGTTTTTATTACCAATGTAAGTAGGTCTTAAATCGTTTGCATAAGCCTTAATTCTTAGTAAAACTCTTTGTAAATGCTAAATCGAACCTCATAAATTTATATATTAGTAATTTATCATTATTACTTTAAATTGATCTAATTTTATAGCTTTATAAAAAAATCCTAAAACTTGTCATTTCGTCGCTGTTGCTGTCAATACATGGGAAACATATACCATATAAGCATATTAGTATATTGATAGGAATATTACCATTATTAAAAAGATTATAATAAATCTGTTGTATCGTTTTCAATAAAAATATGATAGAGAAAATGTTTTCTTTTCTAAATAAATACTAAGGCATAACCAAAATTATTTTACCCAAATACGTAAATACTATTATACTATTTACGTATTTGGGTTCACCGAGAGGAGAAACTGACCGGTTACCAACCGGGGTGTAGCCCGAGGCGCAGCCAAGGGCCTTAATACACCCAAGTTGGGAATAACACTTTCTTTCGAGGGATACGTAGTGCTTTATACTATACCTGCGAAGGAATAAAAGGCAAATAATTTAATTGAAAATTATATTAAATTTGTTACAGTAACTAAATTTTTGCATGGGAGATTTATATTGGATTTTCGATTTCACGAGTTAAGGTTCTCAATGAATGCTTAGGTAGTTTCTTTTAATTCTGGCGGTGTCAATAAATCTTCGTTATCAGTAATATATGCCGTCTGGAGTAGTTTGGAAAACAAATTAAAAGCTCTGTTAAAATTAAATAATCAGGGCGCTTTTTACTTTCTGTTCTTTTTTCAAAATTGATTCAGAAAACAAATAGTTTAATGTTAAGAAAATATATTGCACAGTCTGCAAAATCATACTTACCACTTTTCGGAACATGAATTTAAATAAAAAATAATGAAATTCCATAGACTTTTCTGCCCGCTGAGCGCGTTAAAAATGGATTTTCATGCACTTTTCTAGCCCGCTTAGTAGTGCAACAGTAATGAGTTCCAGTGCTTCATTTTCACAACAAGAACAAAGCACGTTCCGAGTAGGTGTGGTATAAACTATATATATTATTTAATATTCTTTGTCTTTTAACTGAATCTAATGCAGAATCTATATAAATAAAAATGAATCGCTGACATGTATGAACCTACATTTCATCGAAATAACTTCCGAACAACGGCATCAGATTAGATTCATTATTTTGAAGACAAAATTTTAATTAAAAAAATCAACTGTTTCGAAAAGGTTATCGAAAAAAAGAATATGTTGTTACGAAGTTCGCTGTTCGCTTTGTACATATCAACATTTATGAAATATTGAAATTAATGCACTCTAATGTAAATAAGTAAGATTTAATAGTAACATTTACATGTGATTTAAATAGTGCGTAAAGTCGAAATCGGATTGAAATTGAGCGCTTATAAATTACGCAATTCAAAATATTTAGGATTGCTAGTTAAAACAATGTGTCTCTGTCATGCAACAATAGCTGACAATAGCTAAGATTGTTCGATTTTATTGCGACTTCAGCAAGTAAATTACGTAAAGCCTTAAGTGGGTAGTTTGTTAGACAATAAATTGGAAACAGTTCATGTTTATGACTCATTAATTTCAATACAATAAACAAAAGTAGACTACTCTGGATTTGTATTAACAGCTATCTTACTAGATAATGATAATAACACCAAGCACAGATAATAAAAATATCATCGTCAATAAACCTCAATTAAAATTATAGCAGCTTGTCTTAGATCTGCATGCTAAAGCTGCGATAATATACCGATTAGAATTTACAGTTAGGCATGTATTATGCATGTATTTCGTCAAATGCCTCCTTCATCCGGAGGAATTCTAATAAATGTTTATATTTATTTATTAAAGCGGTAGAACGGACACGAGTCGGGAGGTGGATTGCACCGTTACAATTTTATATACGCGTCGATTAGTATGCATAGTTTCGTAGACCCTCTTGTCTCTCTATTCTTTTTAGAGAACAAGAATTAAAGAATAAGTTATTACCAACTTTTTTATTCCTACTATCCAGGTACTAAAAATATATTAGAAACACATTCAGTTACTAAAAATATATAAGTTACTTGATGTGTATCTATGTATGTGTTTACAATTAGGTGTTGTTAGTTTGTAGTGATGACTCTATAATGCTATCTGCAGAGCGAGTGGCTCGTGTTTGCATGTGATTTAAAAGCACGACGCACGATTGGAGCGCCAGGCGCGCGGGCACAGCCAACATCGGCCGCGCGATCCATCAATCCACGCGGCGATCGCAGGGCTTTCTCGTCGTTAGCCCTATAAGGTCCGGCTGGCACCACGCCTCGCGCAAGCCACTACTTCTTTTTCACTTCATTTTCTAACTCGTCGTATAGAAATCGTCCTAACAGCATATTTTACTTTTTCAACTGAACGGAAACCGTCAAAAGATTTCACGTAACTTTTTAAAGTGCACTCACTTAAACACTGGCAATATTTAGATGCTCACCGTAACTTCGTAATCGCGCTCGTTTAGCGTAATAGCTGAGAAACGCGCGTCGGTAATCGCGTTTTACGTTTTCGCGAAATGCTTACGGCGCTCAATGGTACTTTCGCCATTAAAAGTCGAGCATAAATAATCTGACGTAGACCCACTGGAATCAGTTACTAAGGACCACCCTGGGTGTTGAAATTGGGTTACCACGGTGTATGTTTGAATAAGTAATTTTAAACCGATTTCTTTTGTTTCAGAGTGTGGTTATGCTAATGTTCCGAGAAGAAAAGTCGCCAGAAGATGAAATAAAAGCGTGGCAGTTCTGGCACGGAAGACAGCATTCAGTCAAGCAGAGAATTTTAGATGCCGGTAAGTACTCAATTAAGTATCAAAATAAAGAAAAGAATGACTTCGACACGTTTGCACCGTTAATTAATTATGGGTAAATTAAGATGACTATGGAAACAATGACTTTTGACTTTTTGCACGAGGCAGTAGAGACGGTAGCGTTGAGACGCGTTCGAGGCACGATATTCACATAAAAACATAGACGTGCTCGAGGCGACACAGTAACACGCGGGGGTTGCGTGCGGCGCGCGGGACCTAATTACCGAGCTGCGGCTGCGAGCGGGAGCTGTACGCCCCGCTGCCCGCCATTATATCTCGTTAGGACATTTGCATAAATAACCGCAGCACACACAGCCTTACCTATCAATCGGCCCTTCTAAAAATAATACTTCTATGGCGCCGACCGGAGACACCTCGCTACCCATTGCTGTAGCCTCGCATTACCTTAGGTAGCCGTAATGACACATTCCGACGTTAACCAGATTAAAGATACGACAGATACAAAGATTCCGAGAGACGCGCTTAAATAAAACCATTATGCAGCTATCTGAGTAGATGAGCCTATGAACTCCGCGTTTGAGTAACAGGAAATCGTTAAAATTCGTGAGAAATCTCTATGTTGGCATCGAAACAAATGTGTAAGAAAACTTGCCTGAGTGTCCATGTTCTCCGAGGTTGCGCATAAACATACGATGCGACGTTAGCGTGCCGCCACATCTAAAATACTTAGAGGAAATACTATAAGCTTGGTACAATATAGTCGCGTACATACATAATTACCGCGATGATATCGGGGAGCTTGCTCATTAGCATGTTAATTGCGCGATGAGCCTCGACGGACACCTACGCATCACCACAAACCTTAGGAAAATAATATTTTTACTTATTTTGTTTGGCCCACGTAACAAAATACATTTTCCAATATATTTAATTTATCATACAACAGATTAAGAAGTTTTAATTCATCAATAAGACATCAACGCGTGCCGATTCCGGTGATTTATCAGTGAATTTATCGTCGAACATAACGATTACAATTAACTAAAAAAAAGTTAGTTCATAAAAACGTTAGGATTTGACAAAGTTGGTAGTTGCGTCATCGTCAGAATGGTCGCTTATTAATTGCCTGAGTCGGAGTAAACACCGCTGATATATGACACTTTACACATTCTAACATTACTTAACTGAGGGCTGTAGCATTTGTAATGAGTGACGCTGCGGCCACAAACACTGTCAATAAATTAAATCTCAAGGAAAATAAAAACATGGAAGCCATTAATTCGCGCGGCCGGGCCAAGTTTAATGTCAAGGTTTTTTAGCTTATCTCGATGATGTCGGTTTGTTGTTTCTTTTTTATTTTGTTGACGTTATTATTCAAATTGAACTAATGTCTAAACAAGCAGGAATTTTGTATGTATGTTGAAAGATAAAATACTGTAAAAAAAGGTGTAACCAGTACGCTTCTTCTAACATTCTACATTTAAAAAAATGTAATAAAAAATATACGTAAAGTAACTAATATGTAAATTATGTTATTGAAAACTATGTTTATCTAATTACAAAACCATACACTGAATATTTTTTATTACAGATTTTAATTTCAAAAACAAAATTTTAATAAGTTTTGAATATCATACAAATTTCCATCAAAGTTTCAAGCATTGATCTAATAATTCCCTATGTTAGTTACGGCCAACAAAAAAACCATGAAGTAAAAAAAAACAATTTAGATACAAATGTAAATGTAGCATTACTTAATTTAAATGTTGGCTAATCTACAATGAGCTTTTTAATGTAACGACTTCTATTAAAATTTACTCACATTGCAAGACAACCTACACCTTGTTTGGACTTTTCATATATTTACTGCTCTTATTCGACTGAAATTACAGTGAAAACTTGCAAAGATGGATAATAATTGATTGAGGCTTTGATGAATGTCCGTACAGTAACATTACAAAACACCTACACATTGCTTGGCCTTTTCATGAATTCACTTGCCTTATTCGAATGATGTTACAGTGAAAATATGCTCTGATGAAAACCTCATTGAGGCTTTGATCGACGTAAGTTACAGAACATTACAAAATACCTACACATAGTCAGGTTTTGTCATATAAACACTGATCTTATTCAATTTATGGAGGTACAGTGAAAATATTCAAGTGAAGTTACAGTAGAAAAGCACTGATGGAAAATCGATTGAGGCTTTGATGGATGTCAGTACTCAAGTACCCACAAATGCTTTGAACGAACTTAGGAGCGGCGTCAAGGGCGTCACCGGACACCTGTGCGCAGGCGTGTGAAAGCGGGGAGGGGTGCGAGGAGCGGGGTACGAGGGAGGCAGGGAGGAGTGGGGGGCGGAGGGGTCGCAACGCACTGCGCGCCCGCACAATGCCTTCTCCGGTTACCTACGTGTCTTCTTGCATCGCGTGGCCGCTGTACCAGAGCGTCTTTGCCTCCACGCTTATACCTTTTGACAGTTTTCGCTTATTACCATGCGTCAATGACTCCGTCGACTTAATCTGATGTAAGACTTTGTTTGGGTAGTAACAAATGCGTATTGACATCAGTTTTCTAATAAATTAGGTATTTAATAAATTAGTTTGCAAAATACAGAGAGCTATGTAAAGTAAGTAAGATAATAATCGTGAATTGGCACATCGGATGTCGACAGAATTAAATTTTATTTTTGAGATAATACGCTATCTATTTTATTTATAGTTTTATGACATATAAATCTTAGAATTTAGTATTATCATTTAATCTTTTATGCAGGTATAGATAATAATTTACCGTTTTAAACAAATTAACGAGGATATAGGTTTACATAGGAATATTAGGTTTACATAGGAAATAAATTAAAAAGGCTTAAACAACCATGAATTTATCGAGCAAAGAGTAACTAAACGTAAGTCAACATTAAAGATAAAGCAAGAAAAACAAACAGCCTGCTTGTTCAAAAATTTTTTCAAGAAATAAAAGTGCATAGCCAATGCGATGCATTGCATTGGCGATCAAAACAAAAGAAGGTGCACAGCACACTCCCATCTGACAGTTGGAATCGCGAGATATGCAGAGTGTCACGTCGTAGGACGCAGCTCGTAAATAGTTATTGGCTGTTAAAACAATAAGGCAGCCGAGGGCGGGCGGCGCACATAAAGCCGTCAGAACGCGCAGATCGCGGGCGGACCTCTCGATAATGCGCCCACACGGGAAACGTACGCCTTTACAAATCTTAAGATACTACATCAACCAACTTCAAGGGCTAGTAATCACCTTAATTAACTAATCTCACTACAGATCGCTAAAAGGGTAACATAAGAAGTAGGATTTATATTGGTGTTCCGTGTAACTTTACAGTGAATGTAATATCTCTCGCTTTCTCAATGTGTGAGAGAGTTGAGTCAACTTTGTTAAATAAATTAAAGTGTTTTATAAATTATACAAATAATAGTTCTCCATATCTAGGTATAACAAGTTTATATGCGAAATACACTTATGTAAAAAAAGTATTTTCGAATTAATCTTTATGGTTGGCTAATATTTTGTATAGCAGGTAATAATGGACCTTGCACTTTCGTCGCGGCGATTACTCACGAACTTCCAGCGCCTGTCGCTAATGCAGCCGCCTTGCGTCGGACACAATAAACAACTGTAACGAAATAAACATTGAATTATTTATAACCGTGACACCTACACGTATTCTCTGTGCTGAGTGCTGTAGGTACGTCTGTATGTATCACCAGAGCTTAGTTTTCAATATAGATAAGAGACTGTAAACTATAAACATCAAAGAAGTCTAACCAAAATGCATACGCGACTAATATTTTATATCATCGTTATGAAATGTATATTTTTTGCAAAGATTTTCTTATTTAAGTAATAACTAAATTTGCTAAATAAATAATAATAAAATAATAAATAACTAAATTTAAAACTGATATATCAAATTGGTTATTATTCACAGAAGAATATTTATTTGTTAAAAATTGGCCAAAAGTCCAAAAAAGTTCATGCTGCTTAGACTCTTTTAATAAGTATAATATGTTTCTAGTAAGATAAGTGAAATAAGATGAAGTCTCAATAAATTTCTGAACTAACACATTAAAGAGGACTTTTAACGAGAAATAAAATTTATCATAAATTATAAAAAAATGATATCTATTTAAATATTTGGAATAATGGAATAAATAAGGAAAAATGCATCCTAAGGTTAATTTCAGTTTTTTTGTCATCTAATGTTATGAGGAAGATCGGTGATAGGTTACCGCAAATAACCAACATCACCAGGAAACTGGTGACAACCTTGTCAACTTCAAAAATTCAGCATGTTAAAATTAGGAGAGAGAGACCGAAGTGGTTTTAAACACCCATGTGTAAAGTAAGCTTTAATGTGATGTGTTGTAATGTGTTAAACTGAAATTAGGATACATTATTTCATGATATCACTACATTTTGGTGGTGTTGTGTTTCTTTTTGTGAGTAAGGTTCCAGGGTCCCACGGGGTAAGGGATTAAGTTCAAGCTGGCTAAATGAAGGTGACTGAAACTGTTCATTTGTCTGGCGCGCTATAAGACTTTTTCGGGGTTTATCCAAATCATCAATTGGTGTATTAAATTGTTCCTTATTGTTCATAAAAAGCTTCTCGAGCAACAGCACATCTAAATCATTTGCATTCTACATAAGTATTATAAATAACCACAAGCCTATTTAAAATATCTCCAATCAAGGGCTAAATGGGTGCTAATTGCGAAGACCGATTCTAGGCGGGGACAGAAGTGGAAACATTGCAATCGTTGATAAATCGATCCTATCACAGGATTATTCACGCCCGGCAAATAAATTTCCGTCACCAATGACGTATTGTGCTGTGATATCTTAATCGAAATCTCCGCCGGCATTACTGCACAGTTACTCGAAGACAAGATTAATGACAACCGATCGTTTTGTTGGTTTGTTGCAGACACCAAGAACAGCATCGGTCTGGCAGGCTGCATCGAGGAGGTGGCCCACAACGCGATAGCCGTCTACTGGAACCCACTCGAAAGCGCCGCAAAGGTAAGACGATGATATTATTTCACAATATACAAATCAATGTCGTCTTGATAAAACTCATTTTACCTACAACCTACACCAAAACAGGCTTAAAGAAGCATTTTACTAACCGGCAAGTTGAAGATCTAAGGTCGTTAGTCGTTTCGCGTCTGGATTCCACCGTCACGTAACGAAAGTTGCTAAAGATTTTTTTTTATTAAAAACACATTACACTTTTATTATAGGTATACTTATAAATAGTAATTCAATATCGTCCTATCAAACATCAGTTTTGTAAATAACATTAAATTATTAAAACTTACGACATAAACAAGCATACAGAGTTATTTAAAATTAGTTTGCAAAACTCTTTAGTTGGTAACTACATAATTTACCTATTTAGAGTATGATTAAACATTGCGAAATTCACAAGTATTTTGAAAACATAAAATAATTGAAATTTAAAAAAAATAAGATTGTAGCAATTTACTGATTAAAATTTGAAGCTAGAGGTACGTCTAAAAAGGAGGGTACTTTATAATAAAAAACTTTCATAATAGTTTACACAAAATAAGCGATTGTACTATTAATGTACAATAAACAAACAAAGACTGTATAGAGAATTTACGAACGTCAAAAGTAAGGCAGAGTTGTTCATATTCGTATGTCAGTATAATTTGTACACATATACAAATCATTACCATTATTTACTGAATAAAAGTCAAGACATGATTTTACTATATTTATTACTGGGTAATTAAATAGACTTCGTTTTCCATGTTTGGTGTATCTACTTTGGCAAATCAAACAAAAATACGACGCATCCGCCCCTTCTTGCGCGGCTTCTCCGTGCCATAGGCGTACCTGCGATCTACTCATTATATCCCTTTAATCAAAAACAAAAGAATGTCTGTTAAAATTGTTTACTTTATACTACTCACATACATGGACAGTAAATTAATGCACGATATTATGTACATACATATAGCCTTTTTAATATTCATCAACAATTAATGGTCCGCCTCGAGTCGCCTCTATTATATTGCAATATGCTAATGCTATAAGAGGTTGTAATAAGCGCTTAATGACTTCTGTATCTGAGCAATACAGAAGAAGTTAGAAATGATTCGGTATGGAAACCTCTCGACAGTAAACTTGCATGCTGCGACTCCACAATATGTGTTTTACCTAAGGTTTCTTTTATTGGCACAAATTACTCAGTAGCCTGCGAGGTGGTTATCGATATCCATAATTATTTATTGTTGGACAGCGAAACCGTAGCGGATGAGAGTCGTTTGCGACAGATAATATGCGTTCGAACAGTGATCGGTGGTGCAGTCGGCAGCGGGTAAAAACGCGAGGGGGTCATTTGCATAGACCGCGGTAATGAATGCCGCGCCGCCCCACCGCTGTTAAAGCACGCTAAAAACCTTTACTACTAAAAGTGTTTACGTAGAAAATTTCATTGAGGCTCACTCTGTCGCTTAGAGCTTTTTATGGTTTTACTAGCATTAGTAGCCACGGCTCCGGGCTCCCGACATCCTAGGCGCCTGTCTCCGCGGTCAGGATGTGTGTTCTCCGCGACATGCGCGAATATTAATACTGTAATAACTTTGTAATTTCCATGGGCAGTTTTATAAATTGTCTTCATTCAGAAACCTAATAAGAACTTAATGGAAAATACCACAACGTCAATATAATGACTTATCCACCTTTTTGTCTTTTTATTTTCAGATCAATATCGCCGTACAGTGTCTCAGTACGGATTTCAGCAGTCAAAAGGGCGTGAAGGTGCGTATAAATAACGGCTTATCTCTTATTAAATATTGATATAATTGCGCAGGTGTATTCTCTACCGGACAACGGAATTATTGAAGTTTTAAAAACAAAATGATATAATGCGAATGTACTGTCAAGCACGATAAGGAAAACAACGGCTACATCATAAAGATTAAAATATTATAGTAAGGTAGTTGTAAGTACTTCAATAATAAGGCAATATGATGTTTGTACAATTATAATAAATATATTATTGCTGTGGGAATTTGCGATCAAGAAGAAAGTTATAAGTAGTCCATCTTGAGCAAAACAACAAACAAATAAACTTGCGCAGTAGACGTTTTTGTATGTAAAATAACTGCGCAGGCTTTTTTGTCTATATGGTCGATACTTAAGAAGTTTGCCGAGGTATATATCTAGGTTTAGTTTCACTATATGCTGAAGGACAGCCGTGTGTATTGCAAAAAGTTAATTAAGTTTACCCTGCTGAAAGTATGTAAATGGATGTTACGATGCGTGAACATGAAGGCGAGGGGTCGGTAACCGCGTTGTCACCGGAGACACTCCGATAAACGCGGTGTTCTAGAACCAGGTGTACACCACTAGCGGTAGCGTGTAACTACGTACACAATACTTACCCCTAAAACACTTTTTTTATATAAAAGGTAGTCATTCCTAAAAGGCCATAAAAGCTTGATATTCTAGAAAAATTATTAAAAGAATTACCGCTTCCTGGTATTTTGATAAAAAAGTCTACGAGTATTTAAGCTTCTAGCAGATGAGGGACTTTATTTTTCCCGCGAACAAAAGTCCCTGTATAGTGAAAACAATGTCCGCCGAAGACTTCTTACGGACTCAACGCACACGATGTGCGAACATTTGTCGACGAGACGAAAGAGAAGACCTTTTATAATAGAATATTGGGTCCATCTTTCTAAATCGCATCGAGCGCGCAACGCGGACTTAAGTTCGCTGTGTGGTGTGTGTTGCTGAGCCTAGTCATATGAGTTCTATTTTTTTTCGGCGACACCCGCGTACATTTGTCTGGTCCGTTCTTACGATGGTTATACGGAAAACTTTTTGTACGCGGTACTTTTAATCTGTCATGTGCGTTAATTTATGCAGTTGTAAGCGAGCGACAAAATTGTCCCTCGTCTGCGCAGGTTATTAAGATCTTTATTTTTAGTTTGGAAATCTAGAATAGTAAAAGTACCTATACCTATATAATATGTTGCACATCAGAGAAAATATGAGAAACATACTACTAGCCTGCAAACCAAAGTATAACTTTTTTTTTCTGAACTGTAGAAAATATTAATTAATACATTTGAAATAAAAAATATTTTATAGAAAATTTTATCAGAGGTCTTTGAAACTTATATTTATTCAAAAATAAACTCATTTTTTGGAGTCCCTTTTATTTCGAGAGTATATCTTGTGTACTTACTTAAAAAAAATTGCATGCAATTGCAATTTTAAAAGTGTTATACCTCGTTTTGCAGGCTAGTGTGTGAATATTGCTTACTCAAAAGTGGGCTATGTTAATATTACAAGAAAGTTTCCCTTGGCCTCTTTGTACGTTTTCTCATCCGCTAGTATAACGCACTTGGACACCCGCGCCCTTTACGTCCGATATCAAGCCCGTCCGCTATCAGCCTCTCAATTACCTATCGCACAGCGACGGCGACCTCGAACCGCCGCAATTAAGACGTTTTAGCGCGATTGGATCCAGACACGTTCATATTTTTTCCTTATTCGGACATTTATCGCAATTATTCCTTATGGACGTTTATTAAAACCGTTTTTACTCGTAATTCCTAGATAGCCGAGTACTGGCGTGAAATTGACTAAGTCAAAAATTGGTTAATCTGTTTATATATTGACTATGCATGAGCTCTACCCACCTGTGCATTGATTAAAAGTACAGCTATACACGTTTTATCTTATTAATGCATTTTTATTTTAGGTATTACTTGTTTTGGCCACTCTCCAAGTGTTTTCGTTGTTCCAGGGTCTACCGTTGCATATACAAATTGACACATTCGAAGATCCACGGGACACACAAGTGTACCATCGGGGTTACTGCCAAATTAAAGTGTTCTGTGATAAGGTTTGTATAATTCAACGTGTTTACGATTTGTCCCATTAAAATAAAATCAAAAAAGGTATATGATAGTAACAAAAATATCTCACAGGGTGCTGAAAGAAAAACAAGAGACGAGGAAAGAAGAGCGGCGAAAAGAAAAATGTCAGCCACGAATAGAAAGAAACTCGACGAAATATACCACCCAGTTACGGAGAGGAGTGAATTCTATTCAATGGCCGATTTGTCGAAGCCACCTGTATTGTTCAGTCCAGCCGAAGACATTGACAAATTAGCAGGGATGGACATCCAAGGCTTCTACGGTCATGATGAAGCGGCGCTCGCAGAAGCACATCTGAAAGGCGCATCCCCGTTTTTACTACATGCAGCGAAACCGCAAGCGCCAGCGTTAAAATTCCACAACCACTTCCCTCCTGATGCACCAGCGTAAGTATAAATTAATATGCAACTGTCACCTTAATTAATTAATATTCATAAGAAAGTTAGAAGCTTTTTATGTTACTTCTATCAATTCAGCCGCCGACGACATGTTGGCAACATAATGAAGCGACAAACTGGAACAAGAAAGTGGTTTCCATCACATATCCGAGTAACATGCTAAGTACTTTAACAGGAAAGCCAAGTTAATAAATTTTACGACTTAGCAGCGTATGTTACTTATCATACGTGGCAATAAACTAATCATACATGTCTACGACGTTAGCTTTATATATTTTGCCGTTGCATCTAACATTTGAGTAAGCGTCTTTTAAATCACTAGACGTGTATTATGTTTTAAGAGTTATCTAGATGGATTACAGCTACTAGTAGCATGTTCTTCAGTAATAACTTGATTACTGTCTACGATTATGGTTTTTGCTTTCATGCATGCAGTCATTATAAATATTTTTATACAAGCGATTAAAGCTGGTCACAATGTTTCCGAGTTAATCTATTATATAATAGTACTGTTCAAGTGCAATATTTTTATCTTCTAAGAACACCTAAGACCATGATCGTATGCGTGCATTGAACATCGAACAACTAATTGGAGAATCATGCCAAAATGGGGCCCTTAAATTATATGATTTCTGTTTCTTGATTCTAAATTTAAACAGTTCTCTGTTCAACAGTGTTGTGTTTTGTTTATGCAGATACCGGCCTGACGTGGGCGGTTTATCTCCGTACAGCGACCGAAAGGACTCGCTAGAGCTGGAAGGTGTTCTAGGCAAGCGCGCGCGTACCTCCACGCCGCCGCTCAGCGAACGCGTAATGTTGTACGTGCGCCAGGACACTGACGAGGTTTATACCCCGCTGCACGTCGCACCACCCACCACTCAGGGCCTGCTGCATGCCGTAAGTATCGCTGCTTTAATCCCGTGAAGGAAACCGGCCAGTAACACTTCTATTCTAGTTTCTGATACAATTTAGTATAAACCATCAATATTCGCAATATTGTTCCCACTGCCTGACCCACCGCGTTGGCTCAGTATGGATTGGTTGGTGCAAAATCAGCCGAGATCAATGCCTTAACTTGCCTTCCGAAGTACAAAGAGTTCGAGGCATCTACCTTATGACTGCTATGGGGAACTGCTTAACTTTCACGAATGCAGACCGAACGCGCTAACCAATATATTGAGATAATTATTTTTTTATTTAACCGATATTACATATAAAGTTTTTTATTAAGAGTTGGTTATCTATTTACTTTAATGAACAAAATTAATATCAGAGATAAAATATTAACTTGCACAACTTCAATAGAATGCAGCTTTTTGTATCCTAATTTTCCAATTGGCCAGTTTGTGTTATTCATTGAATATTCCATGGTAAGCTTCAGGTATACGATGAATAATTATGTTTATTAACCATATGCTACTTGATACATCACATTGACCTGTGAAAACCGATGCTGGCCAAAGTGACGTATGAAGAAGCGCGCCCGACGAGAATAACCTTGGTGATGTCGGCTAACCGCAGGAACTGGTGACAGGGAGTAGCAACCCTCTCACTTGTCCCTCACAACAATACTCTGGAAAAATACTTGCAATCATTGTGAAGTCTGAGCTATACTATAATTGACCACAAGGTACCGCTGTTTCAAATATAAACAACTCTGGATTAAGCTAAATTTTCTTCCATAATTACGAATAGTAATTCATACTTTTGCCGCGATATCATGTGGTCAAGCTCAGTGTCCGCTAGGCTAACTACAAGGAGAGGAATCGAGACGCTTCGTCCGATTGTAACCGATATGTGGCGCTTCATAACCCCGTCTAATACAAACACACGTTCATCATAACTGCATGTTGTAATTAACACCGCGCGGCCGCCCGCTGCACTAGACTCCTCGTCCGGCTAAAACCGCGCGCGAATCAAATTTGATTGTCCTTGCGAAACCACTACACCGGTTACGTTAACGCACGAGACGTCTCGTTAAAAAAAGTAAACGCCCATTGTAATTTTGTTTATTTTCTGCTTATTTTCAGATTGAGAATAAGTACAAAATTTCAAGTTCGGCAATTAATAATCTTTATCGAAAGAACAAGAAAGGGTAAGTGGTTTTCATTGGCCTAAAAAAATAAATTCTTAGCGTAGAACCCGCGACGATCGTCTCGCGTTAAGGAGCACTGCTTGCCAGAGAGGGCGCGCCCACTAACTTCGCAACGCTTGTTTGCAACAAAGCCCCCGAGACGACTCCGTTAATTACTTAACTTTGCTATTGGTAATCGTTAATCACCCCTCCTAAACCTGACACTAGATCTTAATTTGCATATTGACCCAGCACTCGCATATAATAATTAAGCAACTGAGCACTCTCGGCAATATTAATATCAACTTGAAATATTTAAACAATTTAATTTGAGTATAATTCAATACAAACGAACCTTTGCATAGTTTAATAACACTAATTTATTGACCAGTTTGCAGTGTTCAAATATAGATCGTAGTTACTGATAATAAATTAACCATAATAATTACTTACAGGATTACGGCCAAAATTGACGATGAAATGCTGGCGTATTACTGCAATGAGGACCTTTTCCTACTGGAAGTTCGGCCTGCAAGTGTCAACGAAGACGAGCCGCTCTATGACATAACGTTCGTAGAGCTCTCGATCGACCACTAGCCGAGGGACAAGTGCCGCATGTTTGCGTCGTTCTGTAGCGCACTTAGAGGGCAGAAGTCCAGTTTTGGGAACGATTTTTCATCTTGCAGTACACGCTTTTCGGCGTAACTTCAAGCCTCTCTGAGATGTACAGCCGACGTTAAAAACACCAGTGGCGTCCAAAAACTCTTTAAATAAACGAAAGATGTGTACACCTAATGTGAGCGCCCGCCTAGTACTACCGCGTATGATACCACCGCTGGTCAGGTGTTTTATCTTACTCACTACGCTCCTGCTCCGTCTTAAGAAGATGGACTATTGACATGTGGCGTCTTCGAGCTCTAGGGCAGCTTATGCATTCCTTTTGTAAGCACATAATAAAAAAATATATGTATATTAATTTATAAATGAGATAACGTTGTCTCTAAATGTGTCGATCTCAGATTGAAATTACTTTTAAGCGATTCATCACCATAACATTGTTTAGATGGAACAGTACGTCACAAATTCGTTGGTCGCTAGGTGGACGACGTTGAGATCATTGTTGTATATATCTAATTAAGTGCCTTATGAAATTACAGAGTGTAGGTGATGATACGACCTGTGTTATGATGGCAATGTTATTTCTGTTGTTGGTTTACCTAGAGAGTACCGTTCGTGTCTTATGTAAAGTATAATGTTGCTCATTATAAACGTGTGTGCCATTCACTCGGTTAACATACTAGTTGTATGTAGTTATCGTTTCAACAGGTACCTTTTAATCTTGCCATGATGATAAACTAAGGAATTCTTGTCACAAAACTTATTCTGTAGATGTATTGTCTACACACTAAAGCGCAAAGTGCCTTCATCATAATAATGTTATCTCTATATTAAGTGAGTTAAGTCATTTTACATGCCATCCACTTTTGTTAAGTTTTATATACGTAAGTTTTGGTCTAAGCTCGCTCAATCATTCACTTAGCAAAGTTCTAGTTTTAGGTTACAGCGTCCTCAGCTTCCATGATATCCGTTCCATATCTTGCTCAATATACATGAATAGTTCTTGTTTGACTTCAATAGTTCTGTCTACAATTATTTTACTGCTTAATAAAACGTTTCAGATTTACAAAATGGAAGCAACGGACGATATTTAAAATTTCAAATGAGACAGTCACAATTTTGCATAATGTATGATAAAATAATATAGTCATTTAGACATAGTCACAAAAGTCGTCCATTGGAACAACATTAACATTATCATCGGTGGGTGTGGTTTGTGTATACGTATTTTTAAGATTTTAAAGGTAATACATATTGTTATTTTAATTAACTGAAATCGATACGTTAGTTATCGGGCCATGACAACGTTTTAGTTTACGAAGTATTTTTGTCCAAGACTTATTTATGATATAAGACGTCATTCTAAATAAAAAAAATTTTTTTATGTCTATCAGCCATTTTAATGTCGCATTAAAGTATTATAAACATCTTTTATACGTGATTATAATTAATCACATTGTCGTGAATTTTTAATTTATCCAAATTACGTTTTTAATGGTTTGCTTCTGTGGTATGAGTTTTGATATAATACCTATTTATTATAAAAAACACCATCTTTTATATTAGATTATATGTTTGTTATTAATAAAAAAGCACATGCTCGAACAGTTCAAACATTTATTTGTCTGTATTGCCCTACGTGAATGGGTATCTTTATATTTATGACATTATTTAAGATTGAACTCCACCGATTCTGTTATTCTAAATTCAGAAATGTAATGATGACCCATGAGTGTCGCCGTAGAAGGAACCCATGATTACGATACGTTAGAAGAAGTGCCTTGTGCGAACGGTTCGATTAACTGCCATATTATGACATAATTTAGATTACTATGACTTTAGACGTAGATTTTACTGTAGTTCGTGTCCCATGACTTGCAGGTAGGCATCGAATTTTAATTAAGAATATGTAATGTTATTGTAATGATTCATATATTTTTAAAGTATTGTTTTTGTTTCGTTCTTTTAACTAAGCTGGCTGCGAGCTGTGACTGTTCTGCGCGACAGTCGATTATTTCTTCCATTTGGCTTACACTTGTTAATGTCACGCCACGACTTTTAAGTATTTTATTGTAGGTAATCTTTACGAATTTTTAAATTTCTCATAGTTGTCGCGAATTGCTCAAAGTCCATTTACGTCTCGCACGGAACGGGCTGTAACGACATTGTTATTACTTTTAACTACTTCACAACTATATTTATTTATGTACTTACGTATTATAATATTATGTTAAATTGTGCAGCTTTAATTTTTTACTTAAAATGAAGTTAGATCGTGATTCTGAATCTCGTCATAAGTCACAAATGTCAGTAGCAATAAACTTAAAGCAGTAGTAGCTAGATTAATGGCCGCGGCGAAGTCGACGCGCCTCCGCGCCTGCACCGCTGGTTGTGCAATGTTTAGCTGAGTTATTGAGGAATTGTTGTGTTAGATCACTTGCAGCATTAACTTTAACGATTTTGTTTACAATAGTTTAACCCTTTTTTAAACACTATGCAACTAATTTATTTTCTGAATTATTTTATCATCGTCTATCCATTTGTCTTGTGCTTTTATATAAAATATGTTTTTTTTCGATTTCCAATTGTTTATGTGCGTACTTTCGTACTAGTATTTCTTGAACATGGGTGTTTCTCGATAATTTGAGCAACGTGCCTACGGGGCTACCGTTTCGTAAACGTCGCGTGAAAGAATTCCTGCTCAATAAACACTAGAATGAAAAGGCTCTGTAAGCCATTGTAGCAGAAATCTCAAAGCTAATGCTCATTTGAGAAAAAGTTTGGTGTACGGTGCGGCCGCAAATCGGGTGAGCTGCGGCGGGCGGAGGGCGCGACGCGGCCTGTTGGTATTAGTCACACTAGTTATACAATAACGATCACATACAGAAAGTGGTAGCACTTATGTTAAAGAATCATCAGAACTAAGTTTAAATCGAATAGATGTTACGTTATTCTTTTATATAAATATTTGTAAGTTGTCATAAAAATATTATTAATATAATTATTTTTATCAAAGTTTATAATCTAAATAAAAATGTTTTTCTTCAAAACGTAATAGCAGTTTTTCTTATGTTATTTTCCTGTATTGGTATCTTACAATGATGTTTGGATATTAAAAACAAGGTCTTTCAAATAGACCTTGGTAAGTTGAATGCATGCCCTGAAAAAAAAACTGTACACTTAAATAAAATCAACTACGAAGATAACTGAAAATATCAATATAAACATTACGAAGACTGCTGATCCATTAGATATATTTCTTACATCAGTCCAAAACCCTCATCGAAGTGCAGGCCTATTACAGCAAGTTTATTTTTATTAAAGGATGTTAAACAAGCATTATGGCCTTCTTGATGGTTAGCCACCATTGTATATAGATTGCGGTACCAGAGTATCACTTGTGCGCTTCTTAGCCTATTCGTTTCAAAATTTTTATTTTACATTGTAAATTTGACGACCATACGAGTATCAAGTACAATGCATGAAGTAGTCAATGGAATCACCGAGAACAAGCGTTATTTCCTAACTCATAGAATAATATTGGTAATTTTAGAATTCTGAAGCAGTAAAATTATTCCATTGTGCCAAGGTATCAGGCTACTGGAGACGAACCAGATTCTTTCGCTGTACAGGCGAATGTACTTACTTCTTTGTTAGAGAGACCTTAATAGGGGTTTCGAATTTATTTCAGTAGGTATAGTATCTCTTATCTATTAGACAAGTCCGTCCGTCTGTCTGTGGTGCTGTTTCAGCGGCCAAACCGTAAGAGATAGATAAAAAGAATATTTAAGTTATAAGTTAAGAATAGTCTGATAAGACTACAAACCGGATTTGAGTAACGTAGCACTTCCGGTTTTCGAGAAATCAGGTTATGGTGAACATTTGGTTCACTGGTTTGCTAGTTGTATATAATAGTCATAGGTTTTGTTTCGTTTGCTCCCAGCGGATGTGAAATCCTCAGCTATGGCCATAAAGGCCTTACAGACTTCATCTGATGCGATCATACCCTGAGTAAAATTTTCTTGAGTTTTAAAAATTTTTCAGCTTATCATACAAATATAAGAAAAATTACAGCATTATTTTCTATGTAGTGTTTGAATAGTAAAGGAAGGAATACTTCCCCAGACAAGCGTTTTTTGAATAAACGACTAAATATTGTTAGTGGACTTGAAAATACGACGGTTAAATGAAAAAACAACAAACTGTTTTCATTTAATATTAAATCTTACAATAACAATAATTTTCACATATTTACACACCCAGAAGCAATAGTAAGTTAGCAAAAACGTTATGAGTAAGAGCTTAAGAATTGCTCGAGAATCGAGATTGAATAAATCTGAGATTTACACGTACATGTTTCAAAAGCACAAGTTTAAGAATTATGTTTAGTTTTTGTTTCGTATACACTAAAAGCAATTTTCGTAGTAGAAAGCATTCTGACACATTATAATTAATAGAAGATCAGTCAAAGAACAGTTGGATGAAATAACAATTTTATTAGTAAAAATTCCGATTAAATTATAGAAATCTGCACTATCAATGAATAGTAATGCATAAATAGGTATAAGATATTCCTCACTATCTAAATTGACATAACCTAAACGACTCGTCGCGTCGGTTGAACGTAAAATTATATATAATATATTTTTTTAATATTTACTTCCCAGCTTTGATAACAGGCACTTTGTGTAAACAAAAAAGTTTATGGCGACAAAATTATTACCAAAAATCTTCTAATCTGTTCTATAGTTTTCTAGTTGCATATACACGATATAGCTACATCTAGGTACATAGTTTAAACTTAACACAACAACAAGATCAGTAAAGAAATTTTATTTAAGCTAATTCTTTGGCATTTCAAGAATAACAATAGTTATAAATATTCTACTTACTTCACGTACAACTACAGCTCTGAGATGAGAAGTTAATTATTAACATTAACGAATTCTTCGGCAAGTGTATTGATCATATAAAATCAGAGATAAATAAATATAAAAAATATAGCCAATACTTAGGTAATGTGTCTTTTTAAACTCAATTAAGTGTTTTATAAAAGATAGAATCACATAAAATATCACTTTTGTTTATTTGAAGTTGGCTATACTTTTTATTCCTATTAATTTAAACAGACGACAAAAACATAGACAAGTAGGTAGTTTGATTTAACGATAAAAAATATCTGATTCCAAAAACATAAATATCAGAGAAACTAAGTTTTTATTCAAATGATTCTACCCAAGCAACGTAAGAATTAACATTTATATGCAAATTCTGAGAATGTTTGTAAAGTAGCTTCTGTCAAATAATAAGTTATTATATAGGTTCGTAATTTAACTCACCGTGTTCATTAATCGTATTTTAAAATTAAGTACCTATGTATATTTAAACTGACCAACGTATTCATGTGACATATAATCAACCAACGGTAGGTTAACTTTATTTTGCCAATGACTTATGTATTAAGATATTCAATACATCTTTACATGGAGTTTAAGGACGCTTTCATAGGTACCTTAGGTATATTTATTTCTTGTCATGTAGCAGCGGCAGTAACAGAATGAATCTACATGTTTCTACCTTGCGGCTACGCCATGCTATAGCATATTCTCATTTTACGGCAACAGTCAAAAATAGCATTTCATGGTATAATTCTAGGTATAAGAAAATCCCTACAATTTTTTACATCATTTGGATTGTTATTTAAGGTTAAAGGTACTAATAATGCAAAAGTTAAATATTCAGTTACTACAGAAGGTTAAATAAACCCAAAGAGGGTCTCCTGTCCGGGACAGAGAAACATAACAGTTTTAAGCTGTTCGGGTGATGTGATTAAATATTACCGATTTACCGAAGAAAATAAAATAATAATGAAGTCTTTCGTTAAAAGCTAGAGATCGAAGACAGTCACCGTGGTAAGCAACTTAGGGTGTTCTCATGAAGATTTAATAGTCGAACATGTAGAAAATATAGCTGGTATTAAATTAGAGACGCCTAAAGGGCCTGCGCTATGTTAAGCAGGAATACGGAGTGGACATCCGCTAAGCTGCGTGAGGTGGGTCTCCCGTCAGAAACACCAGCTACATGTTCTAAATGACCATCGTATGCCCTAAACGTTAAGAATTTACCGATCAATACAACAAACGAAAGATGTATGTATGACTTCAGTTCGAGGGCTGTTACATGCAACTGCTTTGGTTGTTCTTCTTAATAGATCTAGATCTTGAAGTGGTCAGCCTCGGAGTAGCTGTGCTATTGGGTAAGAGGCGTACTCTGACTGTCTCAGAAGTCGAGCATGTAGTACATGTCAGTGGTGTCAATGTTTTATGCTATAGATTAACCGAAGAATACAATTAACAACTGACGTATAACTTCAGCTCTAGGGGTGTGGCAACTGCTTAGGGTGTTCTTCTGATTAGATCTGGATCTTGAAGTGGTCACCCTCGGAGCAGCTGAGCAGTGATTGCTATTGGATGAGGGGTGAACTCTGGCTGTCGCTGAAGTCGAGGGTGTAGTACATGTCAGTGGTGTCGAGGTTGTGCGCGGGAGGCGGGAAGGGCGCGGTGAGCGGTGGCGCGCGCTTGTCCTGCAGCCAGTGGTGTGGCGGGCCCGATTCTGATACGCGGGATAAACGCGATAACAGTCGCGAGTACGTTTTGTTCACGCGGCAGTGGCATGCTGTCACCTGCACACATACATACATACATACTTAGAGCTTGTCCAGATGTAGACGCAAGTTGTGAAGTTAGCAGCGATCTCACTTTACGCAGGTTTCAGTTCAGTGACACTTCGCGTGCACCTACATAACCCAACATTGAGCTTACTGTGAGATGTCCTAACTTCACAGCCGCAACCATAAAGTTGAATAATTCTGGCACTTCACATGGCCATTTGTTTATGACGTTTGTAAATTTGACAACAATCTCTCCGTTTCATATACTAGAACATGATTAGGATAAAATACTGTCAAAATCGATGAAGTGATCACTAACATACAATTGAACTCGGTTGTACTTCGCCATCATCGAGCTTAAAAGATACAGCTAGAAGGGGTGTACTACCAATTTTGATCAAATATTTTGGCTGAAAGATATCTCACCATAACGCTAACGATAACTATGGCCACCCCTTACGTTCCAGCAGCGATATAGACATTGTGCAGGCGGTCATGGTACTGGGCCCCCGCCGCGGGACTCACTGCTCAAGGTAACTCACTATAACGACATCATTGGTGATGACCGCCCCAACCGGTGCAGCGGCGATATAGACGTGCAGGCGGTCGTGGTACAGAGCTCCCGCCGCGTAGATCACTGCTCGAGCTAACTTGCCACAAAGCCAACGATAGCAATGGCAATCCCTTCCCTTTCAGCGGCAATGTAGACGTTTTGCAGGCGATCATGGTACAAATAGAGACCCCACTGCGGGACTCACTGATCAAGGTAACTCACCACAATGCCAACGATGGCGATGGCCGCCTCTATCGTTCCAGCGGCGATGTAAGCGATCTGCAGGCGGTCGTGGTACAGGGTCCCTGCCGCGGGACACACTGTCAAGGTAACTCACCACAACGCCAACGATGGCGATGGCTGCCCCCAATGTTCCAGCGGCGATGTAGACGTTGTGCAGACGGTCGTGGTACAGGCCCAGCGGTAGGTGCACCTCGCGTACCGAGCCCCCGCCGCGGGACACACTGCTCATACTGTTCTCTTCGCTTATCACCGACTCCAATATAAAATCCTCTGAAAAATGCAATATAAGACTTCAACTTTTCTACCCAGTCTGGGTATCCATTCTACTATTTACTACTTCGTTAACGTAGTAATCATATTTCAGTGGCGTTTTAATGGAGGCTTTTTGACACAGTCCTTTTTACTAAATCACAAAACAAACAATTTCAACAAAAAAACAAACAAGAAAATCGAAAATAAAAGTACCACAAAAACTAGATTTGAATTAATAATGTAATTGTTATTTGTGTAATATTAAAAGTAGGTTTCTGGCACTTTTGTTAAAAAGTTAAAGCTTCAACTACAAATGTTGTAGATCTTTTTATTACCTACAACTTTGCCATTTAACTTTTTTTCATAGGACTTGCAGTTTTACTGGAAATTGAGATTAACCGTTTTTTACCCTTAAAACTCACCCTCTCCCCCTTCCCGACCTCAGATCGTCCGTAATTTATTTTTCCTTTCATTTTTGTTATATTCTCTACTTTTGCCAATGGGTTTCATCCTACTATAACTTTTTGTGATCTCAAAAATTATCGACCCTGATATACATATAAGTGCAAAGAAAAACTTAAAAAAGAGGTTGGTGTACTGACATGATATAAATAAGTACTTATTATTGCATTTTCAGTAGTCAGCGATATAAAAATAGTAGGGTTCGAATTTCAGAAACTATTTCCAGCCTAGGAAATAGGATTCAGATTTCAAATGACAAACATTAAGTTCTCACTCACAAGTTTCAAGCTTGTGAGATGAATAGTTAAATTTTCTACATCGACCCGACCATGGATCATACTTCCAACCTCGGAAATCTTATGGAAACTTCTGTGCAAGCCATTCGATTATACACAGAGGAAGTCAAGCCTTCAATAAACAGGATTTAAAGAATTCACATGAATATTATAAATGCGAAAGTAAGTTAATTACCAGATTTTAAAGAATTTAAAAAAGAAGGTCATCAATTTGACCCGAATTTAAGCAACATTGTCAGAGTTGCACAGTTTTTTGGTATGGTAGGTGCATAAATCTTGCATACAACGTTGCAGGGACTCGCTTTAAAAGAGTTTTCTTTATAGAGCAATTCAGTTAGGTACTTTATGATACTTGTAAATTAAATTATTAAGCTGTTGTTAGGTAGGCTGTAGGTTGTGATGTTAGGTAATTTTATAGTAACACGAAAAATATTAAATGTAAATTTTAGTCATAAATAGTAAAACTAGGCCGCACTAGGAGACGAAGAAAGACCGATTAAGGCGACAGACTGCAATCATATCCACCTACGCTGAATAGGCAATGACCTCAGTGTTATGATTGTGACACATTTATTTAGATCAATGACGGAAATCCAAAAAATATGAAATAGGTAAAATAAAAATTATAAACTGCTCTTGGTTGTATTGTGTTCAATTTGGCAAAAATAGTGATTTAATTTTATTTCGTTTCAACCTTGTATTATTTAATTCGAGGAGCTCGATGGCGCAAGTGGTTAGCTCGTTCGGCTGCGATCGTTGAAGTTAAGCAACATTCGCAGGGGTAGGGCAATGGATGAGTGACCAAAAAGAAAATTTACTATCTTGAGCTCCTCCGTGCTTCAGAAGGCACGTTAAGCCGTTGGTCCCGGCTGCATCTGCAGTCATTAGCACCCGGCAATCCGCACTGGGCCCGCGTGGAGGGTCATGGCCCTATCTCCCTATTCCATGCATAGGAAAGGCCTGTGCCCCCGCAGAATTTTAATGTTAATAGAATTTTAATGTTTCTCAGATTATAGTTGTTCTGTAATCTTAGGTTGTCTAGAGTTCGACTAAAAGAAAAATATTGCCAAGAGTAATGGGAAAATAAGTATATGTAGTAACAGAAAGTTTTAGTTCATAATAATTATAATAACAAACAGTATCAAATATAGAAATTATTATAAATTATATTCTATTTACCTTCACAAAGCTTTCCCGTGTAGCCAGGACGACAGGAACAGTAAAATGAATCCACCCCATTCCAACACGTACCACCATGAGCACAGGGATTATTGTCGCATGCCTGTTAATAATAAAGTATTAATCAGTATAGAGAAAAAATGCTGCGACATTCGCTAATTTTAATGTTAAGATTGAACACGTGGAGTAATTACCTACGAGTGGTAGGAAGTTTTTTACCTAGAGACAAATACTAGTTGTCGTCTCAATACACCTATAAATACCCAGTTTCAGTCTGACCTTTGGGATAATACTGAATAAACGAACCAATTAGGAAGAGAGCATCAATTATGGAGAAAATCGAGTTTCGTGCGATGATTTAGTTCCTCACCAAGCCAGGTAAAACACTGCAGATCATTATAGAAGCGATGTCAACTGTTTGCGGAGACACTTGGCCTGGTAATACGATGATTTATTAGTGGCATAGCTCTAGCAAATGGAAACTATAAAAATAACGTACAGTATAATAATAAGTACTATACAATACTTATCCGACTACCTATTAAGTATTTATGGAACCATGACTCCGGTACAATTTATTGTACTCATCACAAAAATAAATGCCTCGGGGTTAGAATCTTAACCCCCTTATTAATAGACGAAGACTAAGATTGGTTTAGTTACTCTATGTTTTGTCTCCGTTCATTGAATGACAATGGCACTTGAGTGATCTGAACAAAATACGGTGTAACTAGTCTAAACTTATTCCTTGTTTACTAATAAGGGGGAGTTTATATATATATTTATTGCATAGGTACCTACTTAGGCATCTTTTTGTTTATTATTGAATAGATAAATCAATTCATACGAGGAGAATGCTCAATTTGCATTACGATGATATCCAAAAGAATGAAAAATGTGTAAGTAGTTTATGGGCGTACGAATTTTGTTTTTTTTTGCGTACCAAATATACCTAATTTAATATTTTACACTATAAATAAATCACAACTAGCCTTCGTTAGTGAAAATGAGGGTTTAATAGGCATTAAGAATTTGGTGGTCGACGTTACCGATCGTGTTGGTATATGGCACTCGTCGCCGACGTATCCCCTCGGACACTCGCACACGTAGTTGTTGCCGCGGTCCATGCAGAAGCGACGCGGCGGGCATGGGTTTGGTGAGCACAGGTCCACCTATTGGAAAAACATGTTTGAAATAGTAAATAAAATCTCTAATGCTGGTATTGGACCAGTTAAAAGCACAGTGGACCAATTGCTAAGCTTACAGTACTCTTCTCAATGGTCGAAGAATAGTGACCTGACCAGTGTCCAATGTGTGCCAAACTTTTGATGCCGCACTTTTGATGTCACTGGTGCATTCACGATTTTTTATTAGAGAACAGAAGCTAAGTGGTCTACCTGTTTACGAAAACGAAAAAAAGGGCTATTATTGAAAGCTTTGATTCAATTGCTACTTCTATATTGTATGAAACTTATGTTTTTATAAGTTTATTCAACAGAGTTTCGGGGAGATATAGCGGATTTTCTGTTATTTCTACTTGGAGCGCTTTTCTGGGACAAAAACTAAAATTTACAGAACACAACAGTGAAAAAACCGTTCCTTTCGGTATGGATGTGTTTTGGCCGGTAGGTAAATTTTATTCCTGTCTCAGTGGCATTAGCACAATAATTTACATTATATCACATTCTTTTATTGCGTCTAACTGTCAACCTCCATAGTAATTTGACAATTGAGCGTAATAAAAACGAGCTTTATATATCATATCACAGGGTACAAGCTAAGGGAGGCTGAGCTCTACACTGGGTTGAGGTTGGTGCAGGCAACAGTGCAACACGCGAGTGATACTCTAGCTAGTGTCGCAAACGTCTTTAAGGCTTCAGTAAATTTTCTAAATCTCGATTCAACTGAAACTAGATGTAATCCATAGAAAAATGACAATGTCAATTTGGGATGGGATGAATCTAGTTTAAGTTAAATTGAGGTTTAGCAAAATTCCTGCAAGTGGGCCTAAGCTATGGTTACCGCTTACTACCAGGCAAGCGATATCATTGTAAGTCACCCTATTTAAACAATAAAATTAAAGTGTATTTGTAATGATTTTCATCTTGAATGCACACATTACCGCACGAGAGATTTATAGCTTTAATCTATGTTAACATATAAGAAACGCACTGGCTATAAGCGGCCAAAAGGAAGTTAGGCCAATTTAACAGGTTCAAAATATATACTAATACTCAATCACAAAAAAATTACTAAACGAATTTAGTATGTTTTCTGGCGACCGCCCGCGACTTTGTCCGCGTTATCTTAAGTTAACTTAAGTTTTAGAGAATCCCTCTGGAACCTAACATCGTTTCGGGATAAAATTATCCAGGCAATAAACTATATGTGCCCTTTTCCGATTTAATTAAGCCCTGCCGTAAAATACTCCCCCGTAAAATGAACTATCCCTTTTCACCCCGTTAGGAGAAGAGTTTCTAAGAACCCTGATGATGATACATGTTATACTTTATTTCAGGTCTCAAGTATAAATGCTGTGATTTGAGTTAGTCGAAATTCCCGTTAAAATTCATCCGTATTAAAACTTGGGCAATCTCTAGGTGTAGATTAGGCAAACCAAAAAACGCAAATTTTATAATTTATTTAGATAAATATTCGAACCAAATTTTATGTCTATTAACGCAATTAATAAGATTTTTTCATACATACTTTCAGCCCTTTTTTTACACTCTTAGGGTAAATTATCGAAAAACACTGATACATGTTATTCTTTATTTCTAGTCTTAGGTTAAAGTACCAAGTTTCTAGTTGGTCGAAATGCACGTTACAATTCATCTATATGAAACTTTGAGTCCCTCTCGATCCCCTTTTTCTTTAGGAAAATTAAAAATGACAAACTTATTTATTTACTAGTGGCCGCCCGTGACTTCCGCATTAACTTTAATTCTTGGAAAAAACCCTCAGGAAACTGAATTTTTTTAGGGATAAAAAATTCCTATGTCTAAATCCAGGTCATAAACTATATGCGTGCAATCCAAATCCGTTCAGTATTTTTTGCGTGATTGAATTACAAAGCATACAAACATACAAACTTTTACATTTATAATATTAGTAGGATTTAGTTAAGTATTCGTGCCAAGTTTCAAGTCCTTTAACTTAAGGAATAACATTTATCATACAAACTTTCATTTTCGTATTTTAATCTGAATTTTGGAAAATACTTATTTAGAACACCCGTAGACCTCATAAGGAACATACGTACCAAAGGGTGATTGGCAATTTTTTTTTTACCAAGTTCTATAATTTATTATAATGGAGAGTTTCATTAATAATAGAATAAAATAAATGATAATAATACGATCACTTCTTCTATTAGTTATCTAATGTCACATGATCGAAAACGGCTGTAATTGTTCGAATTTAAGTTAAAATCACATCATGTCAGCGAAAACGGCTATGATTGAAGAAAGAAGTGAACAATTTACTTTTCTGTGTAACCGACTTTATTAGCGAGCCAAGGAGGTCTTATTTTTTTTTGTAATCATAATGTATCAACACATAATATTTTCCGGGTATGTACAGCAAAATAGAATTGAAAATTGATGCTGGACTTTTGATATATTTAAAATTTAACTCTCGTAAATTATACAATTTTGTTAACGCAAAAGCTGACGTAAAATCTTAATCAAATATCTGTATTATTACTACGTAAAATAGGAACTACCTTTTTGTATCCACCCTATACTTTTAATACTCAAGTTTGTATTGACATTATTACAAATGCTGGATTTGCCTTGTCTGGAATCGCAGCTCTAATTGCATCACTTCCGTTTAACATGTATGGTAAATACTTACATAAAGTCAACCCTGTTTCCCGAAGGGTAGGGAGAGGCAATTGCTACGCATACCAAATAAGTACATTTGATTTAGTTAGTTGTTTGATTTACCTATTCGACATAGAGAATTGACAGAGCGTTCCATATACACATCTGTAAAGTAAATATGGACAAAAGCGAACTACCCTTTAGTGCGTGAAAGACCAAGCGAGATTTTGGTTACATAATCGTTTCCCTTCTTTCCAAGCCGTGGCCAGTTTCTGTATTGCTTAGTCTCATTTTTTACGTAATTTTTATGTTAAAAGAAACAAGCATATGGGCCATCAAGATGCAACCCCGAATTTTGGTATCGCGTAAATGGCGCTGTTGCTTAGCATTGCAAAGTTTTTTTTGTTTGCAGTCACCGTTGCAAATTTTGTATTATTACTCTGTGGTTTCTGTAAGCTTCACCGAAGGGTACTACAATTCGAGCTGCATTTCAAGTTAAACAGAAGCTTTTAAAACTGGACTAAAGTTAGGCTTGATGTGAACCTAATGCTGTCTCTGTCTTCTATATAGTAAACAAAGTCGACAGCATAATAATCATAATCATAATAATCATAATCAAAATCATTTATTCAGTTTAGGCTGTTACAAGCACTCATGAATGAAGCGGCAGGAGACCTTGTACTGAGAAGAACCGGCAAGAAACTCAGCAAGGGCTGTTTTTTTCTCCCTGTTTTATTATTTACAGAGTCGTCAAATTGAAAAATGACTTCAGAGGTGATTCATGAAGTCACTTTTCATTACATAATTATTAAATATACATTAATTGTTTACCTGCATTTTGATTGCTGTGTCATACAGTATAAATACAAATAGTGTTATTCATATTAAGTGTGACTAAACATTAACTTCAATATTAAGGAAGTTAGGGCAGACTCATCTCCAGCATTATTACAAGTCCTGGTTAAACTTTAGTATTTTTTTTGTAATCAGGCTGCATGGGTTTACCTTAAGTTGGCACGTGTTGCCGGTGTAACCGCGGCCACAGGCGCACTCGAACCCGCCGACGCGGTCGGTGCAAGTGCCACCGTTCACGCACGGCGATGATTCGCACTCATTATACTCCAGCTCGCATCTGTCACCGGTGTATCCTGCAATAACAAAATTGATAACGTTCAAATCAAATTCTTAACTATCCTTTATAGTAGCACTACGACGACATGCTATTACTTGGTAGTGTTGTATTTAACTGCAATAACTTTGACTACATGCGCTTATTTTTCCTGTGTACCATTGGCTGTTCTCTTGAGGGTACAGTGTGAGTGTCGTAATTACAGTTTTGTTTTATATGCGTGTACGCCAAACTGCATTTATGTGCATATTCCCCCGCAAGAAATGCAAAATGGTTTGAATAATATAATTTCGCTATGGCTACTCCCTTCCGTGTTGCTCTATGTACATAGGCACTTAAATTTAAGGAACGTAAAGATATTGTGAGCCTCTCGGTTGAGCAAACAATAGAGATTGCCTGTGTGGAACTGGACCAGCTTGTTGTATTGAGTGTATACAGACCTCCTTCAGCATTGTATGATTGTTTTGAAACTATTATGGATGAAGCTTTAGAAAAAATTGTCAACACTGGTAAACGATTAATTGTTTGTGGTGACTTTAATATTAATCTATTAGAAACCTCTAATTTGAGTATTAAATTAAGAAATCTATTTCAGTCATATAATCTTGAAAACTTGTTCATGGAGCCTACTAGAATAACTGCCACTTCGGCCACTTGTATTGACAATATTTATACGGATATAAAACCACATTCAAAAGTAATTGTTAATCAACTAGATAGTGATCATTGTGGCCAGATGATTACTTTTCCACACCTGTTTTTCCTGATCTAATGAAACACAGTAAAATAACTCCATTACATAAATCGGGTAGCACATCTGACCCCACAAACTTTAGACTTATATCCGTGTTACCCACCTTTAGTAAGATTTTTGAAAAAATTATGCTATATCAAATGCAATCATATTTTTATAGTAATAACATTCTTCATAGTAAACAATTTGGTTTCACAAGAGGTCGCTCAACAACCGATGCCGGTGTTGAGCTTGTACAGCAAATTTTTGATGCCTGGGAGAACTCGCAAGATGCATTAGGTGTATTTTGCGACTTATCAAAGGCTTTTGATTGCGTTTTTCATGAAACATTGATCAGGAAACTTCACCACTATGGATTTAGAGATACCACTCTGGATCTTATTGTATTTTATTTGAGTGATAGGGTTCAGAGGGTTGACATCAATGGAGTAAAATCTCCTGGTTCGTCGGTTAAGATGGGAGTTCCGCAGGGCTCAATCCTTGGTCCTTTTTTATTTTTAATTTATATCAATGACTTGCCCTATTTTGTAAAGGATAACCACGAAATAGTATTGTTTGCGGATGACACTTCACTTTTGTTTAAAATTAAACGTAGGGAGTCACAAATTGATGACGTGAACAGGTCTATTTCGAAGGTATTCCACTGGTTCAATGTTAATAATTTGATGCTAAATGAAGGGAAAACTAAGTGTTTGAAATTTGTATTACCTAAAGTCAAACAGGTAAAAACTAATGTAAATATAAAGGATCGACATATGAGCTCTGTAGATAGCACAGTGTTCTTAGGAATCACACTAGATTCTAAGCTGCAGTGGGGCCCACATATTGATGCATTGTCGAAGAGACTTAGTTCTGCATCATATGCTGTAATGAAAATACGGCAGTTAACGGATATACAAACTGCCAGATTAGTCTACTTTAGTTATTTTCATAGTGTAATGTCTTACGGTATTTTACTGTGGGGAAATGCCGCCGACATTCAAACTATATTTGTGCTGCAGAAGAGGGCTATTCGATCAATTTATAATCTTAAAGTTAAGGATTCATTAAGAGATAAGTTTAAAGAAATAGGTATATTGACAGTTGCATCACAATACATATATGACAACTTAGTATTTGTAAAAAAAAAATATTTGTTTACTAAAAATAGTGAAATACATACATATAATACTAGAAATAAAAATAACTTAACTTTACCTGTTACTAGGCTCCACAAAATCAATAATTCGTTTAGAGGTCTTAGTGTTTACTTTTACAATAAAGTTCCAAGCAATATTCAAGAGTTAAGCATGACTAAATTTAAATCGACCATTAAAAAATCACTAGTTAAGAAAGCATATTATAAAGTGTCTGATTATATTACAGACAAAAATGCTTGGGTATGAACTGTTCCAACCATGCCAACGGGTATTTCTATATGATTTAAATTATGAATTATGTGTTGACAATACTATAATTAAATTGAAAGCTGTATATAAAGTTGATAACTTAAGAAAGATTATCAGACTGTTTAAGAATATTTGATTGACAAAACGGCGTGGTCGTGATTTCTCCTTTGCTTTGTTTTTGTAATTGTTTGTTGTGTCTTACAGGTAAATAAATGACCTTAATTTAAGTAAATATGTTGTAGTTAGTATGGGTAGTTATAGGTAGTCATGCTCTCATAATAGTCTCTTCGGCGGTGTCGTGTGAGGCGGGTCGTTACGTTCCCTAAAATACGGTTGAGCGAAGCGATGGCTGGTTCATGCGTCATGCTCGTGAACGGGTGCTGCCAGCGGAGATGAGTCTGCCCTAACTTCCTTAATATTGAAGTTAATGTTTAGTCACATTGAATATAAATAACACTATTTATATTTATACTGTATGACACAGCAATCAAAATGCAGGTAAACAATTAACGTATATTTAATAATTATGTAATGAAAAGTGACTTTATGAATCACCTCTGAAGTCATTTTTCAATTTGACGACTCTGTAAATAATAAAACAGGGAGAAAAAAACAGCCCTTGCTGAGTTTCTTGCCGGTTCTTCTCAGTACAAGGTCTCCCGCCGTAGATTTACGAAGCGATGGCGTAGCTTCTAGACATTCATGAGTGCTTGTAACAGCCTAAACTGAATAAATGATTTGATTATGATTATTATTATAGAAGATAAAAATTAACGCTGTACTGCTTAACTTCATGAAACTCGACCTTACCAAAAGTTCTTAATACAAATTAAAAACCTCATTGTAGAATGAGGCTTTTTTTATTTTTAACTAGAGGTAGCTCAATTCGACTTCAAACAATTGACAAAGGTACAAGTACAAGCATGTGTTAAATACATAGAGCAACGCGGCTGACGCGGCTATGGTTAAATACGATTAAGCTCGTATGCGCAGGCTATTAGGAACTAAGCAAGAAGGTTTAAATATTTTTTCCATTAAGCGCTGAAATTGTGATCAAGAATTGCTTTCCCTATTCTTCCTTTTATATCGAGGAAGCAAAATAATGTGTCATCATTATTTTGCTTCGTCGATATTTACGCCTGTTCCTTTTATCTATCCATATTTTAATAACAAATAAATAAGGGATGCTTTTCAAGTATCCCTTCTGTAATGAATGAAACTGATGTATATAACTCAAAGAAGATACTTATTTCTTGTGCATGATAACCAAGACTAGGAATTGCTGGAAGTTATAATACAGTTGCTTTGTCTTTAATAGTGATCCGTATGATATAGCGATAGGACACTAAAATACAAATGAGAAAAGCGGTCAAGTGCAAGTCAACTCGTCCATGAAGGGTTCCGTAGCAGCAAGTAATTCTATATTTTTTTTAGTTTTAGTTCTAATTATAAGGAACCCCCAAAATTTCTTTTTTCTTTTCTGTTTTTGTGTGAAAATCTTAATGTGGTTCACAGAATACTTCTACTTACCAAGTTTCACCAGTATAGTTCTTATAGTTTCGGAAAAAAATGGCTGGGAGGTACGGACGGACATGACGAATCTATAAGGGTTCTGTTTTTTGCCATTTTGCTACGGAACCCTAAAAACTACTTATTATTGTCTGTTATCTCAATTTGGTCGAGTTTTATGACTAAGGGTAAAGCGGTTAATATTTATTTTTCACTGTACTCTCAAGGGTACACGGGAAAATAAGCAACTACGAGTATGTAGATGGTAATGACGATTTGTCACGTAAGTCAGTAATTAATCAATATCTATAAAAACCGCAATGAATTAGTTGGTGAAAGGGTTTATATTGTTAACCCTTTGTGTTTGAAATACGATATAACAGTTAAACAATTGTCCCATTGTTTTCTACAAAAAAGCTGCTTGCTCTGGTCAACATCAAAAGCAATCTAATATAAGAAAGTAAATCTATGTCAATATCTTCGAAAACATATTACCAATTTATTTTAATCTACTACGTCTATAAATGCAGGATTTATAACTCGCAGTATAACGTAAAATTTAATGTATGACCTTATTACAGTAGCTATAAAACTATACTGCTCAAATATTTTTTTGTCAAATCTCGCTCCAATAAACTTATTATGTTAATAAGATATTAAATAAAGAAATAATTAGGGTTAAGGGGAAGGGGGGGGGGGGTTGTATAACAAGGGGCATAGGGTAACAACGTGTAACGATTCTCTGTAAGCTCGTAATCGGCTGTCCTGACCGATTTTTTCAAAAAGTTATTTAATTATTTAAAAAAAAGTCGCTCCTAATGAAACTTTAAGCCTGTAGCTTTTACGGGCCCTCTGTTTTTGGAACCATAACTATTTTAAGTTTTTTTTTTCTAGTTTTACACAGTGGTCTGGTAAGCATTAATATATGTTAATAACTTTAAATAACTTTATATATAATTTCTTGTTTTATTATTTATGTCTAAGTTGATCAGTACGTTCTGAAAAAACTATTTAACGTCTGTTTTGTAAACATTATGAAATTTAACCGAAATACACAGTCCCCTGGCAATAGTCCTTTGTCTAAATATGCAGCAGAGGACTGTTCTACACAACAGGGGACTGTTTATATTGACTTTTAGTTCTTATTTTTATGTATTGTTTGTGTTAATTTATCTGCTATTTTGTATTATCAATGTAAAAAAATATCCCTATACCGAACCAAACGACTATGATTTAAAAGCGCCACTAATACTTCTTTACGAGAAAATACGCCGCCGCTGCTTCGTTATGACCCTTCATTCCAGTTCCAGTTCAAATATCTCCAGCTTCAAGCCTAGCAATGTCCAGGCAAACAATCTATTCTAAATA